TGGGGGCAATATGCTGACTCTGTAAACCGCTTAGAGAGGGCTGAAAGCCCTATGAAGCGGTATATAAGTCGAACTGCTATTGCTATTGCTAAAACAACAACCCTGTGAGGTGGGTTGGGCTGAGCGAAAGGGACTGGCCCAAAATCATCCAGCTGGCTTTCATGTCTAACGAGGAACTAGAACTCACTGTCTCTTAGTGATTGGCCCAAGATCACCCAATTGGCTTTCATGTTTAAGAAAGGACTAGAACTCACAGTAACCTGGTGATTGGCCCAAAGTCCCCCAGGCGCCTTTCATGGCTAATGTGGAACTAGAATTCACTGTCTCCTGGTGATTGGTCCAAGATCATCCAATTGGCTTTCATGTTTAAGGAAGGACTAGAACTCACCGTCTCCTGGTGATTGGCCCAAAGTCCCCCAGGCGCCTTTCATGGCTAAGGTAGAACTAGAACTCACTGTCTCCTAGTGATTGGCCCAATATCACCCAATTGGCTTTCATGTTTAAGGAAGGACTAGAACTCACCGTCTCCTGGTGATTGGCCCAAAGTCCCCCAGGCGCCTTTCATGGCTAAGGTGGAACTAGAACTCACTGTCTCCTAGTGATTGGCCCAAGATCACCCACCTGGCTTTCATATTTAAGAAAGGACTAGAACTCATAATCACCTGGTGTTTGGCCCAAAGTCCCCCAGGTGGCTTTCATGGCTAAGATGGAACTAGAACTCACAGTTTCCTAGTGTTTGACTCAAAATCACCCAGCTGGCTTTCACGTCTAAGATGGGACTAGAACTCACCATCTCCCGATTCCCAGGCCTGCACCTTCATCGCTAGTTCAAACTGAGTCTTTAATTCTTAAGTTTAAACCCTCTATCTAGTGTGTTTTAATTTGGCCAGATGAGACCATCTGAGCCCTTTTTCGTATTGAGTACAGGAAGCATGAATCACAAAAATCTGGCACCTTTGGAATCCTTTAGATCCCATGATTCAAATAAAACATTTGGAGGGTGAGATATCATCGGTGGAGTGGAGTTCACGACTGTGTATATGCCTCCTCGTAGATTTTTATGACTGGCATTATTCATTAAGTCTGTTCTAAATATAATCAGGTTTCGTGAAGTCACTTCCTTGCTATGCATCTCAGGCAGAAATGGAAAGCAGGTGAGAAGGTGGGGAAGAGAAGGGGAGGGGAGAGGAAGGGAAGGGGAAAAAGAGGGCAAGAAAAAGAGGGTGGGAGATAAGAAAGAGAAGTGAAAGAGAAGAGAAAGAAGAGAAAAGAGGAGAAGAGGAGAGAAGGGAGAGGGAAAGAGACGAGAAAGAGAAAAGGAGAGAAGAGAAGGGAAGGAAAAAGATGAGGAGGAGAGGAGGGGAGAAAAGAGAAGTGAAAAGAGAAAAGAAAGGAGAGAAAAGAGAAGGAGATGTTGAAAGAAATGTCCTTCTGGGTTCAGCTCCAAGTAGGGAAAAAGTCACTGGAGACATGGAGGCTGCTTGGAAAGATGGTTTATTGTTGGACAGGGCCACATGACTTGAGCCCTGAACAGAAAAGGTGATCACATGCTTCAATGTTGGGTGAAGAAGAAGAGAGCAGAGGAAAGAGAATGGAGGAAGGGGCTTGGTGGGCTTTTTATAATCTGTACAGGCCCACCTCTCTGTTTCCTGTTCCTGTGTAAGGAATGTATTCTGATTGGTTGTCAGATTCCCATGGGGCCAAGTTTGAGTTTCTAGATCAGTGTTTCTCAACCTTGGTCACTTGAAGATGTCTGGACTTCAACTCCCAGAATTCCCCAGCCACAAATTGCCGGCTAGGGGAATTTGGGAGTTGTAGTTTATACATTCTTTAAAGATCAATGCTCTACAATAGTGATTGTGAGA